ACTTAGAACAAAAAAAAAAAAAAAAAAAAAAAAAGGCCAGGCTTTGTTTTAAGTGCTAGAGATACTTAGCAAAAGAAATAAGGTTCTTGTCTACATGAACTTTATATTCTAGTTGGAGAAACTGATGATAAAAATAATGGGAGAGGGGTGACTCAATGTTAGGACATAATTTTTTATAGTGGAATTTTTTATACCTTTATTTAATTTAGTGCTGAGGATCTAACCCAGTGCCTCACACATGTTAGGCAAGTGCTCTATCATTGAGCTACAACCTCAGCCCCTTGGCACATAAATTTAAAGAGGGATGAGTGTCCTCTTATTTCCATCTTATCAGTGACATGTGCCTGGGTGTGACTTTGTTTGGGGAGATAAAGTAAAAGTCTGACCTCAAGGTAATTTTTGACAGTGATATCCCTCCAGAATCACATAAAAACCCTATGTTTGAAGGGCCTTCTAGTGATTTCATAATGAGGTGAACCAGGCATGGACCTCTGGAATTCAATATATGCCCCTATAGCCTGGGCTGGTTTCTAGACAAATCTTAATTCTTTTGTTCAAGCAGGGAGAACTGCAACCAATCTGGGGTAAGGCCAGAGCTTCCTGAGAGAATACCTCTGAAAACATGAGCATATTTACCTGTGACCTTAAAACTAATGAGGACAAAATTTTCAGGGAAAAATACGTTAGAGACAATAGAGCTTAAAGCAGGGCCAGAGGTACAGCTGGGATTCTGGGTCAAGGTCAGAATGRTCCCTCTCCTCACACCATTGCTTAATTTGTGTGGACCTGGTCCTCTCATCCCATGGTGTCTGGCCAACTACAGTCTTGAGATGGTCAAGGGAGTCCAAAATATAGCTTCAAATCCCTGACACAGTGGGGGAGCAGTGGAGATAGACTTCAGGCCTTCTAGTGTTATTATTCTTGAATTCTATATCCCAACCCCAAATTTAGGATGGTCATTTTTCAGTAAGTCTTAACAATTTGTTGAAATTAAATGAAGTATCTACATCTGGGCTTATATTTAGGAACGTGGTTATGGAATCTGGTTTGAAATATAATGACTAAAAATAAAAAGCATGTTATTAGTTCTGTTAAATTGGTACTTAAAAATGTAAGATTTAAATTAGCTAATGTGACATAACCTAAATCTCACCTGTGTTTTCCAGTCTCTTTTATGGAAAAAATAGTCCTCAAAGAAATTCAGAGGCTCCTTTCTCCTTAGCATTTCTAATTTTTGTGTGTCTCTGAATGGCTTTCCCATCACCACCCCATCCACATTAGGAAACAATGGAAAGATGGGTATTTTTGAATATGGGCTATCTGAATGGAAATTGCATCCTAAAAAGATAAAAACAAAAATGGTATCACTAACAACGTAAGACGTTCCCATAAAAGACAAATGTGGTGCCTATTTTGCTTTTTCCCTATTCTTCTCTCACTGGTCWTGGGCCCTCCTTCACTTTCCTGTTYCTACTCCACACCCATCTGCAGACTTTAGGCTTCACCCAGGAATCTGAAGACTCAGGTGAGGGATACCTGTGCATCCAAATGGTATTTGTGTGACAGAGAGCAGTAATTCAGAAGAGTCTCAGGCCCTGCTCTTGGCCTCTAGGTTTTATTTCTGAGTAGTCATATAAATAAATACTTTTAAAAAGTGGGGAGGGAACAAATGGCTCTTACTTTTGAGCTCTTCAAGAAATTTAAATAAATCCTTTTCTTTCATTATTGCAACCCGAGCAGCATTAGCAAAGGCAGCGGTGCTTGAGCTTGGAGGTGTGCAYATATCTGGCATAAATCTCCTTTTTCCATATTCCCTAGAATGGGGATTCCACAATATTTCTCCACTGGCCTCCTGGAATTTTCTTCGGAAATAGCTTTAAAAAAAGAAAAAGTAGTTCAGAAGTGGATAAAAAAAGAGTTATAAGACAAAAAGAAAAAGTTTAATTATAAGTTACATATGCTGAGTAAATTTATTTTGCATAATCATTCAATAATATTTGAGTGTCTAGTCCTGTGACATTTAAGAATATTCTGATACTTTTCACGGACCCTTTCC